GAGCCATTAGATTAGGTTTTGCAATACATTTGAAAATTCTTTCCCTTCCATCTATCATATTTTAAATTGACATTCAATATTCACATATCGATGATTTTGATGATAACATCTTACCTTCAACTGTTAGAAGGGATGGGTGTGCTGACAGGTAGAGTGAGCTATTACAGTTACTTTTCTGGTTTGAATGTTCCCCTTCTCTCCTGGGAGTTGTAAGATCTTGTTCCAGGGTCCTGAGTCTTTCTCCTTTGTATCCATGACACCACTATATTCTGTAGAAAAGATGGTTGGTTGCTGCCTACTCACCAGCAGCAAGCGTCTCAGTGAATGAGTTGACCACTCAATTGCTCTGAACTCAGTTCTCCATTCACTCCATTCACTACCCACTACTTCCTGTTCTAACTCTGGACCACATCCAGAACCAATTCCATCTTCCAGTCTACCTCCTGCCCCCACATCTATTTTTAGCATTTTTGTTGGGAGTTTATGGATCATTGCTGTACCTTTTCTTGGTTGTCATCAGTGCTATGAATTTATTATTTAACAATGCATTTTCTTTCTTTTAAAAAAATATTTATTTATTTATTTATTTATGCATACAAGAACTGGGGTACAGGCCAGAGGTGTGGGGGGTGAGAGGATTCACCAGAGACAGAGTGGGGAACAGAACAGGCAGATTGACTGAAATACACTGCTGAGGGGAGCAGCGAGCCAGGAGAGGTCTGCTGTGTTTTAACAATGCATTTTCTTGGGTCATTTCTAGGAATTTGAATTGAGAGCAAAGACAGGCACAGACATATATTCTTATATCTTGAATCAGTCATGGTTATATTCCTTTTTTTGTGGATTAATATTGATTTCATCATCATATCATGTTTGTATTTTAATCGGAATTCACTAGCAAATCTCCTTGGATGATTCTGAACTATGCCATTTGAATCAACACCACCAGTATCAATTCCCAATACACATAGCCTTTATTGCCTTAATATATAATTATTCACTATGTACATATCACAGTTGGTGGCACTGAGAAATCTATGTTCTCTATTATTAGTAAATTTATGTTTTACTTTAAGAGCTAGCCACATGAAGGATTTTTTTTTGTTACAATTAATAAATTGTAACAAAATAAGAATCAGCAACATGAGACCTTGATTGGCCAGGACCATTGCAGTTACAGATGAAAAAAATCTAGTTTACACCATATTAAGTCTTTAAAAATGGTGTTATTTGATATATTCTTGTGTCTGCAATGCCTGGAACTCAGTAGACCTTCAATAAATATTCATTGAAAAATGATGAGGGGAATTTATTTTTTAATATAGCTGAAATGTCTAAGGAAAGTTTAGATTCAGGGATAACCATATCCAGAGATCCAGATCATGCCAGATGTCATTAGGTAGGCGTCTGACTCCTTCCTTCATTTTGCCCTGTTTTCTTCTGAATTGGCCTAATTCTCAGTAAGGTTCTTTCCATCATATGGTGGCTGCTGGTCTTTTGAAAGTGAATATCTCCCACCACCTCCTCCCCCGCACTCAATAGTTCCAGCAAAAATTCTTGGGTTAACATTCATAGGGTTGACTTAGTGAATTCTTGACTCGAGTTGTTGATTATCTCGTCTGTGAACTTGCAGTTTATTGTATTTTGTAGTTTTGTTTTTATTGCTATTTGCTAATGCAGCTGTGAGCAAACATTGCCTATGATTTAAATCCCCCACAGTAATAAATGCACACACACACACACACTCATATACACACACAGCTTCCTCAGAACAGTCCACAGCTCTCTGATTAATCACATGTGTAAAGTACAGTGTTTACGAGAAATCAGCAGGTGGCAATTAACATCCTAGAAATTATCTGGGAAACACAACTGGAGCTGCCACTTCAGGATGGAAATGTGGCAACAACCAGCAAAGTGACAAACCCTCTCAGAGCCAGCAATGAGCGGGCCTGGGAGGGGGCCATGCTAAGCACACCGCGGCTGATGGGGTGGCCCTGTGTGGATCACAGACTGCTTGCCAGCCTCCTCCACCTCCTCCTCCAACATCCACGAAGCAGTCTATTGGTGAGGACATGAAAGAGTTGCCTGATATGCAGATTGTCTTAGAGAAGCCTTTAACAAACACTAAAAACACAAAACCAAAGCTCAGGCCTCAGTCTAGGCACAGGCAGACACTGGCACTACTGTATTGAGTTATTTCCACACCACCTAGTAAGCAGCTACTGTCTTGAGCCCGCTGAATGGACCCCATGGCTGCTTTCCCTGGAGAACAGCCCCTCACTCTACAGGATCAGAGGGCTTAAAGCCTTAGTCCTACTCAGCACCAAGTCATTGTCTTTACTGTCTGGCTACTCAATATTTGGGATATCACCCCTTAGGAATTTCATGGCCACTGCAGAAAAAACATGGGCATATTGAAAAGAGCAAAAAGAGGAAACAGTTCAGAGTTTCATTTTTTTCCTTGAAGTGTCCTTTACCAATAGCTGCAAAAACATGTATTCAATAAGTATATCTATGTCTACATCTGTATCATCTATGTGAAGTGACAGTGGGACCTTGAATTTCAGCATCTGCTCTCCTGTTTGCTAGCAGTGTGACCTAGCAATGAGCATCAAGGCCAACTAGTGGTACTCAACCCTGGCTGCACCTTAGAATCACCTTCAGGAGTTTTGACAAATTACAGGAACTGTAATTTTATAGGAGTGTGGGCCATAACCCCGCACTTGTTACTTCCAGTAATAATATCTATACGTTAAGCAGCAGCTCTTATTATTTTCTTTTAATTGTATGGCTAACAAGTAAGTTCATCCTAGTTACACAAAATTCAAATAACACAGAATAAAAAGTGATGAGGGGCAACCTGGCTCCTTCATGTGCACAGGGTTGTAAACACTTACATTCCCATGTGTCCTTCCAGAAATTTATCTTCACAAAGATATATGTCTTCACATAAGTCTTTAATGATATAATTAGAACCAATGACATTGTTCAGTAACTTCCCATTTTTTTATCAATAGGTCTATGTGTCTTGGAAATCTCTCCATGTCATTAAATACAAATCTACCTTATCATTTTTATAATTGCATTTATCTTATGAATAATGAGTACACTATATCTTACTCAACCACTCCCAATATTAGTGGGTATTTAATTTTTTTTTTTTTACAGATTTTATATATTTATACAAGAACTGGGATACAGGCCAGAGGCGCGGGAGGGTGAGAGAATTCACCAGAGACAGAGCGGGGAGCAGAACAGGCAGGTGGACTGAAAACCCTGCTGAGGGCAGCAGCAGGCAGGACAGGAGAGGTCTGCTGGGTCTGTCTGGCTGGCAGGGAATCGGAACCCACACTACAGAGGCTGTAGACAGCATCACAGCACTGCGCTCAACCCGCTGCCCCACTGGGAGGCCCATTCAGTGGGTATTTTAGAGAGTATCTGAATTTCCACTCTTCCAAACAAATCTGCATCTACATGCATCTTTGAGCAGAGGAGTGGGTTTTCTTTAGGTTATTCCTTCCATTGACATCACTGGGTCAAAGGTTATTGCATGTAAAGTGATATTAAATCCTGCCTAATTGCCTTACAAAAAAGCTGTGCCAATTAGCATTCTTAACAATGATTGATGAGTATTTGTCTTCTATACTTCTTATTTCTCACTTTTTTTAGGGTGGTATTTTCATTTTAGGAATAGATAGCCCATCACCAGGTGACAGGACTTAAAAACAAAGAGTATTTGTCTTTTTCATTTCCCTAATGACGAATGATGTTGAGTCCCTTTGTATTTGTTTATTAGCACATGACATTTCTATTCAAGTGTTTTGTGCTTTTAAAAAAAGCTTTGTGCCTTTGGCATTTTGGTCTGTGAACCATTTCAAATTAATTTTCTATATAGAGTGAAGCCGAGGTGGGGAGACTTCTGTATTTTTTTCCTGTATGGATGTCCAGTTGTTCCAACATCATTAGTTAATTTTTTTCTTTCTCCATTGACTTGGTACCTTTGTTGAAAATAAGTGGATTGAGTATGTGTAAATCTATTCCTGGACCCTATTGTGTTCCATTGATCTATTTGCCTACCCTTACTTTGAGTCTTTGTCTTTTAATGGGAGATTATTGATGTAGCTTGTTGGCTTTCTTCTATATAGCCTAATTTCTTTAATCAGGCTCAATCGTTCTTGGTTACAGCAAGGGGTAATAAAGGCAAACAAGGCAGAGCGCTGTCTGACTGTGAGTAAGCCAATTCACATAGTCCTTAGAACAAGCCCTGCTTTGACTTGTGTGGGGTTTCCTTCCACGTGTCAATGGTGGTTAGATAAAAGTATTAGGCAACATGGATTAATCAACATTTTCTAGCTAAGCTATGACCATGTCGGTGAAGGTAGAATAGGAAAGCGGTAGCCAAGGATTTTTTGAACTCTCAGTTTCAGCTCAATTTCTTGAATTCTCGTTTCAAACCTATCTCCCACTCTTATCCTCTGCTCGCTGCTCAAAAACCTCCCAAACTACTCCCCAGACCTTTTGCCAAAGTGGAACTGGTTAGACCATATGCTCTTCTGCCTACAATTATTGTTTATTCTGTCTACTTCATTTGCATGTGGTTGTTCTAATTATAATATCATTATCAAGAAAAGGAGCCCAGGCCTCCCTGGTGGCGCAGCAGGTTGAGTGTTGAGCTGTGAAGCTGTCCACAGCCTCTGCAGTGTGGGTTCGATTCCTGGCCGGCCAGGGAGAAACCCACATGGTGTGGGAGACCTCTCCTGCCTCTCCTGCTGCTCCTCTCAGCAGTGTCTTCGGTCTGTCTGCCTGTTCTGCCCCCTGCTCTGTCTCTGGTGCGCGCCTCTGACCTGTACCCCAGCTCTTGTATAAATGAATAAATCTTTAAAAAAAGGAGCCCAACACTATGGGCAGGAGCCCTATGGTTCCTTTATGATAGGGCTGCTGTAACAAACTAGCGCAGGCCGGTGGTTAAAAAATTTTATTTTTGCACAGGTCTGGAAGCTACAAGTTCAAGATGAAGGTGTCAGCAGGGTTGGTTTCTTCTGAGGCCTCAATCTTTGACTTACAGATGGCTGTCTTCTCCCTGTGCCTTCACATCGTCTTCCTCCTGCGTATGTCTGAGTCTGAATTTCTTCATTGTAGAAGGATACTAGTCATATTGGATTAGAGCTTACCCTAATGACCTCATGTTAGCTTAATTATCTCTTTAAATAGACTATCTCTAAGTACAGTCACTTCTGATGTACTGAAGTTTAGGACTTGAACATATAAATGGGGGGGGGCATTTGGCCACAGCTGGACTCTGCTATACTTGGCTGGACTCAGCTGTGGTTTTGGCTCATGACACTCCTGTGGCCCCAAGAATATACAACTCTCTGTTGTCTCTTATTTTGCTCAATTCTTTTTCTCCTAAGGCCCTCCCTGAATTCACAATATAATTTAATTGCTATTACATGACATACATAATACATCCAAACCCTTTGTAAATCTATTTCTTTATTTTTTTAAAAAGATTTATTTTATTTATACAAGAACCGGGGTCCAGGCCAGACATGCGGGGGCTGAGAGGATTCATCAGAGACAGAGTGGAGAGCAGAACAGGCAGATCTACTGAAATACACTGCTGAGGGGGGCGAGACAGGAGAGGTGTGCCGCGCCACGTGGGCTGCTCCGTGGCTGGCAGGGATCGAACCTGCACTGCAGAGGCTGCGGACAGCTTCACAGTGCTGCAGCTCAACCCACTGCACCACCAGGGAGGCCCTATAAATCTATTTCTTAATGTTTCTCTCCTCTAATCAATAGATTTACCTTCTTATTAATTTGCCTTTTAAGAGTTTTCTGCCTCCCCCCCTATTACATTTTATGTCTTCTGTTTACCACCCTTGTTCTCCCTCCTGCCTCCCTGCCCCCTTCTCCTGCATGTTGTTGCATGGATTGAGTTTCTTTGGTTCATTTCTATATTGGGCTTTGGAAGTTATAGATTCTATTCTTCAGTGGTTGCCCTAATATTTTAACACATTAAAAAACCATTATTAAATTAGAGCACAAATATGAAAAAAGTTAAACAATACAGAAAGACATGAAATGAAAAACAAGTCTTTCAAAATCAGATTTCTCACCTCTCCTACTTTCTAGACTAATGTAGTTTTTAACCATTTCTCTTTTTAATTATTTAGTGGTTACTGCCACAGCTTAAATAAGACTAAAGCCTTATATGTATATTTTTTATTTATCATATATGACAGTGTACTGATGCCCTATTTTGAAAATTAAAGAATAGTCTTACTTAAAATTTCACCCCCATATTTCAAGCTAATTACTTTATTATTTGCTATTTTTAGTAGTCCTAGAAATTATTCCTATAATTTAATAAAGAAACCCTATAATTCCTATAGATTAAATATGACCTTTGAACTTTAATCTCTTCATCTTAAACGTCTGTTAGACATTACCTCTTGATGCTATCAAAGATGTGGAAAACAATACTCCTACATTTTTATCCATGATCCATTTGTCTGCTTCTCTCTGCCTCCCAACTTCTGTACATTGCAAGATTTATAACGTTTACATTTTGCTAATAGGTTTTGTATAGAAATTGAAAATGGAGAAACACCACCTACAATGTTATAATATAATTATCTTTCATTGCAGAGCCTGTTGGTTTGCACCCTTACGAGCTTCCTGGGTGAAATCTGCATCTGACTCCCACATACAGAGAACAAGGAGAGACCAAAGAAAAAGGCAGACTGCTCCAGATTGGTGAGTGGCAGTTTTTACATTTACACATATGGCTTGTCTTGAGTGGCCACAAGAAGAGCAGATCTTTGCACCTGCCTGCCAGGCTCTTGAAACTTTCAAGGGTCTTAACCCATTAGGGCTTGAAAATCTCTGACCCCCTTTGTCTAGGATGACCTCCCACCATTTCTATTGTAGCGCTGCTTCATGAGACTGGTTATGTTGGTGGGGTGGTGATGGAACTGGGGTGTAGCCACTGTGGAGGCTTACTGTCATCCTGGACTTCACCCACAAAGTAGGGAGAGAGGCCTCATATAGTTTATTTTGGTTTTCCCACTTGCCCTAGGATTTCTATTTTCCTTCTCCTTTCTCCTCAAGGCTCAGCTTGGGACAGGTTGGGGAGGAACAGTCACTTTCTTTTAGGACAAGAATTAGTAAATCTAGTTTTCTCTGACTTTACACTCTCCTCTCTCAGTGCAGAGGATCTTTGTCTTTCCTTAAGGGTAGGAACACAGACCTTACTCCAATGTTATTGTCTACTCCTAAACTTGATGTCCTGAATTCTTTAGGGCCATGGCCATTGATATATCCACAGACGCACCTGGGAGACTCAGAAACCCTTTCTGTCAAATGAGTTCCTCTGCTGTGAGTTTCAAAAGCCTATTTTTAAAACTAAAAAGCTGAACATCCCTGCTCTTCTTTCTCTTTGCATTTCTGCTTTAATAACTCTACCCCGAGGGCATGGGTATAGAAAGCTTTTGCTGCTTTCTAAATGGGGAAGATGGATAGTGGAGCAGGAGACCCTGAGGAAAGAGTCATAGCTTAAAATTAGAAAATGCTACCCGGGGGGCCTCCCTGGTGGTGCAGGGGTTAAAGTCTCAGCTCTATTATGCCATCACCAGCCACTGAAGCATAGTTCGATCCCCGGCCAGGGAATTGACACACATGGCACAGCAGACCTTTCCTATCTCGTCCACTGCCCCCCTCAGCAGTGTATTTCAGTAGATCCGCCTATTCTGCTCCCCACTCTGTCTCTTGTGAATCCACTCACCCCCACACTTCTGGACTGAACCCCAGTTCTTCTCTGCATAAATTAATTTTAAAAATCTTAAAAAAAAAAGGAAAATGCTATGCAGCATGTGCAGAGTGATGGGGGCCCACACAGGATACTGGTCCCATCCCACTCTCCAGCACACTGCCCAAAGCCTGCACATCCACATCCAGAGACTATTGCCATTTGTGACAACATGGATGGAACTAAGGGGATGGTGCTAAGTGAAATAAGTCTGAAGGAGGAAGACAAATTTGATTTCACTCAGATGTAGAATATACAGAAGCAAAACACAGGAACATAAACTAACCAAATCAAACCCTTGAAATCTGACTATAGAACTGAGGCTACCAGAGGGAGAGGGAGAGCGAAGGGTAGGAAGCTAAGGGGCGAGGGGGCCTGGCATTCTATGGTGGAATTTTTGGTGCTTTGGTGGTGAGTGTGGGGTGATAACATACATTTGTAGAGGTGTGAATCTGTGCCCCCGAAACATACAGTGCTGTAAATTAATGTTACTGCAATAAAACATAATAATAAAAGGCAACAAAACCAGAGAATTACTTATGGGTTTGTGATAAGCCCCAGGGGTGGGCAGGAGGGATCATGAGAAGGAGTCTGGACTGGAGTGATGAGAAGTCATGGCTTTTTGTCTGGCATTTGCTGCATAACATTTGTGTGCCTTGGAGTAAGTCATCTCCCTGTTTTTGTGCTTCAGCTGAAATGGAACAGGGCCTGGAAGGTTCCCAACTCTTATGGTTTTACTATGCATGATTAATGACATTGAGTGAAAACTTCACAACCTCCCAAAGTCTCAATTCTCTAGCCTGCAAAATGGGCTAACTGCCCATGTGACTTGCTCCACAGGGGTTTGAGGAGGCTCATATGAGCAAGTGAGTAAATATTTTTAAAAGTGCAATGTACAGAGGGAAAATGAATGTATGAAAATTCAGGAAGTGTCTTCTCCCAGCCTGTCCTTCAAGGGCCTCCTGAGACATTCACGTTTATTGACAAGGAAATGGCATTTTGGTGGTACCAGTTAATCTGCTTTTCAGTGGGGCTGTAACCTTGCTCCTTTAATGCTAGTCAGTGCTAATCCAAGAGCTAACAGCAGAGGGCAGCCTGTGCTCAAAAATGACAGAACTCTTTCAGGCTCTAGCAAGCTCCAAGAAGACAGCGGTTAGGATAAGATGCTTGTAGAACACATTAATGTTGGAATCTGGGAGAGTAGCTCAGGATTTTCATTGTTTTTGCTCTAAATATTTATTTAAAATTATTGCTTTGAAAGGGTCGCATACACTTGGTTGGAAAAACGTTAGAATCTATAAGAGTTTACAGAAGACTGCTTATAGTGGCCCACAAGGCTCCCCTACTCCCCATAGGGATTACACCCCACCTCTCTCCCCATAGCTTGATCCCCTTTTTACCTCTCTGACCGCCAATGCTACACTCTCCCCTGGTTCCAGCCCACCCTGGAAAGCTCTTGTTGTTTGCACTTGTTGTTCCCTCTCCTAGAAGGCTCTTCTATAGATATCAACAAGTTTCATTCCTTCACCTCCTTCAAATCTTTACTCAAATATGACTCTCTCATAGAGGTTATTTTTTAAAAATATTTTGAAATTGAAGTTGTATTTGTTCACAGCACTGCATAGATTCTCAAATTTCATTTTCTAGCCATACCCACCATCATTCATCAACTACCACCAACCAAAGAGCCTCTTGCACCTATTTATTCCTTCCTTCTCCTCTGTTGTCAGAACCTACACGTTTGCTTTTGTTTTCTTAATATTGCACAAATTAGTTAAATCATAAAGTATTTGTCTCTCTGCTGACTTATTTCACTTACTGTAATCCCTTCATGGTTTGTCCATTTATTGCAAGTGGTGAGACTTCATTTTTTTTTCATGACTGAATAGTCCACAGTGGCTGTACCAATTTACATTCCCACCAACAGTGGACAAAGGTTCCTTTTTACCCACAGCCTTGTCAATATTATTTCTTGACTTTTTGATAATAGTCATTCTAACCAGTGTGGAGTGAAACCTCCTTGTTGTTTTGATCTGTATTTCCCTGATGGCAAGTGAAATAGAAAATCTTTGCACATGTCTGTTGGCCATCTGTATATCTTGGTGAAATGTTTATTTGGCTTATTTGCCCATTTTAAAATCAGGTTGTATATTTTGGTGCTGTTGAGTTGTGTGGATATACACTTTGGTTAATATTTTGCATATTAACCCCTTGTCAAATATCTTCTCCCATTCATTAGGCTGCCTTTTCATTTAAACGATGGGGTTTTTTTTTGACATGCAAAAGCTTTTTAGTTTGATGCAGTCCTGTTTGTTTATTTTTGCTTTTGTTTCTCTTGCTGTTAGAGACTAATCCAAAAAACACCACTAAGACTGATGTCAAAGAACTTTTTATTTTTTAATTTTTTTAATAAGTTCTGTGTTTATTTACTATTTATGTATGTATGTATGTATGTATGTATTTATGCAAGCACTGGGTACAGTCAGAAGTGCGGGAGGGTGAGAGAATTCACCAGAGCACCAGAGCCAGAGCGGGGAGCAGAGCAGGCAGAAGAACCGAAGTACACTGCTGAGGGGAGCAGCGGGCAGCAGGAGAGGTCTGCGTGCCATGTGGGACCCTCCTCAGGTGGCCGGGGGAGCAGCTGGGGATGGAGCCAGCGCTGCAGAGGCTGAGGGTAGCTTCGCAACCCAGCGCTCAACCGCTGCGCCGGGGAGGCCCCTCAAAGAACTTTTTAATCTATGTTTTCTTCTATGGTTTCAGGTCTTATGTTCAAGACTTTCATCCATTTTGAGTTGATATTCGTATATGGTATAATATAGTAGTCTAATTTTATTAGGTTTCATGTGGCTGTCCAGTTTTCCCAGCACCACTTAGTGAAGAGATTTTCCTTTTGGTATTGTAGAGGCTATTTTGTCCTAAGTGAGTTGCCAGTGTATTGTGTGATTTTATTTTTGGGCACTCAATTCTATAAAATTGATTGTGTGCCTGTTTTTATTCTAGTACATACTGTTTTGATTACTGTAGGATAGTTTGAAGTCAGGGAGCATGATGCTTTCATTCTTATTATTTTTTCTCTATTAAATGTCTTTTGTGGTTCCATACAAATTTTAGGATTTTTGTCTATTTCTGTGAAGAATGCCATTGGGAACTTAATAGGGATTATATTGAATCTATTATAGCTTTAGGTAGAGGGGCATTTTGAGAATGGCAATATTGATTGTTCTGATCCATGAATATGGACTGTCATTCTATTTCTTTGTGATTTCTTCAACTTATTTCAACTGAGTTTTAGTTTTCAATGTACAGGACCTTTGCTTCCTTGGTTAAATTTATTCTTTGGTATTTTACACTTTTTGCTGTTATTATGATGGTATTATTTTCATCATTTCTCTTTCTGCTAGTTCATTGTGTATAGAAATATAACAATGTAACTTTACTGTATTTGTTTATTATATTAATAGTTTTCACTGGAGTCTTTATACTATCATGTCATCTGCATATAGTGACAGTTTTGCTTTTTCTTTCCAATACAGATACATTTTATTTCTTTTTCTTGCTTAATTGTTCTGACCAAGACTTCCAATGTTAAATAACAGTGATGAGATGAGATGCTCACTCCCTTTCCCTTGTCCCTTTTTTCAGTTTCACAGTAGATCCTGTATTTCTTTCAATTTTTTTATTACCACCTTGGCCAAAGTCACCACTGTTCTCTCTCTTCTGGATTATTTACTGCAGTGGCCTCCCACTCAGTTTTCTTGCCATCATCCTGCACCTCTCCAAAGCATTCTCTATGGTGTCCATAATGATATTTTCAAAAAATGTGAATCAGATCATTTCCTCTCCCCTTATACTAGGGTATAGAATGCCTTAGTATGCCTCATCAAGGTCCTGTGGTTTACCTCCTACTTCTCTCCCTTTAAACACTCTTCAGTCTATTTTTCTGTCTTTCTCATTTTTCTTCAACTGCTCTGACCTTCTTTTTGTTTTTGGGAACACTCCAGACACATCTCCCCCACCTCCCCACATCAGAGCACTTGCTGCATCTTTTGCTTTGATCACTCTTACTGCAGTCTTATGTAGCTCCTTAGTTTTCACGTAGTTGCATGTAAATAACACCTTGTCATAGAGGCCATTTCTGACTTTCCTTAGCTAAATTCATTTACCGATAATCTTTATCGTAGAAACACTTTATTGTTTTGTGACATGAAGACTTATTGTTTTCTCCTTTAACTACTTATATAATAAATTCCATGAGGGCAGGACTACTGTGTTATCAGATTCCGCAAAGCAGATGACACAAAAGACTAAACAAAAATTACATTAAATTTGTATGTCAATTTGGGAACAATCGACATTTTTACTATATTGAATCTTCTAATTCATAAATTGTTAGTATGTAGACCATGATGTCATCTGTGAATACGAATCATTTTATTTCTTCCTTTCTGATTAGTGTGCCTTTTCTTTTCTTACTTTATTGCGTGGGTTAGAAACCCCAGTCCTATATTGACTAACAGTGATGAGGATGGATGTCATTGCTTTGTTCTCAGCTAAGTCATACTTTTTTTAT